AGCTAAGATGCTGAACAACAGCTCAACCTGGAGCTGGGCTGCCGTGAGTCACCAGCGACGGTGTAGGCTGCAGCCCCTGCTGCAGTGGGTTGCCATGGGCTACCGTGTGTGGCCAGCAGCCAGGGTGAGCAGCCAGCAGCCGCAGTGAACAGCCGTCCAGAAGCCGGCGACTGATCTGCCTCGCCCGGGAAGAGCGCAATGATGGTGCCAACTTGGGCCAGTGAAGCAACATCCTCCACAACTAGGTTGAAGAACAAAACAACAGCAACTTGTCTGTTCCCCTTCCTCTAATTCCCCAGCACTGTTCCCATCCCCCCAATTCCCCAATAAAAATCTTAAAAAAAAAAGTTATCATCATCAATCATGTGACAATTCAAAAATCATATGCTTCCCAAGATGATGAGGTAAGAAGCGTACAACATCACCTCTGGGTATTTCTATAAGAATGCATGATCTTTTTTTAATCATGAAAAAACATCACACAAACCGAAATACAATGACTTTTTTACAAAAAGAAAAGTAAAACCTGGTGTGTACTCCTCAAAATTTCAAAGTTCTGATTGACAAAGAAACAGTATTCCAGATTAAAAGATACTAAAGGTTAAGAGTAAAATAACTAAATGTAATATGTCCCACTGGATTGGATTCTGACCAGGATTTGGTATTCCTAGAAAGAGAAGATCATTGGTGATATTGAGTGTTGGGACACTATATAACAGTATGCTCTCAATGTTAGTTTTCTTATTTTCTAAAAATTGCACTGTGTTTAAGCTCTAAGGAAATATACAGTGAACTATGAAGTAGGAATGGAGTTTGAGTTTGTAATTTAGTCTCAAATGGAAGAGAGAGTGAGACAGAGAGACAGAGACAGAGAGACAGAGAGAGAGAGAGAGAGAGAGAGAGAGAGAGAAAGGGAGAGAGAGAACATAAATATTTAATATGTCAGGCATAATCAACAATTTATGAATCTTATACAGATCAAGATACTAAAAATCAACAACAAAACTCAATACTTGTTTAGGACAACTGGGGACATACCAAACTGACTGGATATTTAATGACATTAGAGATTATTGTTTTTTCTTACGAATTTGGTATTTTTTAAAAAAGAAATTCTTATATTTTGGAGATACATGCTGAAGTATTTTACAGTTAAACTTATGCTATCAGGCCTTTGCTTCCAATATTCCAAGAGATATTAAATGAAAGTAAGACTGGCCATTGCACAATAATTGTTTAAATTGGTGATAGTTATGTGACAAATTATTTTGCTTTTCTTGCTACTTTTCTATACTACTTTTACATAGTACACATTTTAAGCATTTTAGAAAATTTGTTGTTAATCCATAAAGAATATCTTTACCAGGAAAAACTATTTATAAAACATCAAATGATATACCAAATCGAGATTTTATTGAGAATCTATTTTAATGTAATGGTTAATTTACATGCCGAAAACAGTGACAGCAAAAGCAGTCTGATTTAGAAAAGTTCTCTTTACCTTACATGTTTCACAAATACTCTTTTTTTTTTCTCTCCTAAGCTTTTAAAAGTTCACAACTTGAAGAACATCATTGTTCTTCACTTTCTGAGTGTGTAGTACCTCCTGTGTTCAACTTTGGGGCACTTAGTTGAATATTCATGGAGGGTTGGGGCAGGGGGAGTGCTAAGGCAATGGCCCTCAGAGGGTGAAACTTGATTTTAAGCAAACCACTGAGTCATTATTGAGTGTGAGGCCTTTTAACCTTATAAATGGGGGTCTATGATCTATAGTGATTTAATGGGACAAATTACATCAAAGCCAAAAGAGAACAGAATGATGTATGATTCTCAAAAACCACAAGACAGGATTCTCTCAAAATCCATTTCTGTAAGTTTTTAAATTGCACAGAGGGATGTTTCCCCCACATTTTGAATCCCAGATTGAATTTGAAATGACACAAATTTATTAGTTCTTAAATCAAGGCTATTCGCGGTGACAGCATCCAAGCTTGCCCAGGGACTACTCAGTGACATCCTACAGAACATTGTATGACCCTGTGTACTTTCATGCTCTAAACTGTTTTCACATGGTATCTCTCTCTCCACACATACACATCACACACGCTCTCAAAGCCCTATCGTTAAACGTTCTCACTTTGTACGATTAAAATGCTACTGTAAATTCAAGGCTGAGGTATTAAGAAGGCCATAAAGCTGCCCATGCAGGAGATTTCTCTGAAAGTGCAGCCATTTAGTATCTGTCTATGCTATTCAGTGAAACACACTTAGCCTTGAGAAAATGCTATTGCTTCATGGCTGCAAGGATCCAGAATCCTGAGACATGTGGAGACCTGTTAATGCATTCAGTGGCATATCATTGATATTCAAATGAAGATACAAGTGACACTTTTTCTGTATTCCAAACTGATTAACTGTATTGGATACCCTCTAAAATTCGACACTTATTTTCAACTCGATTGTTTATTTAATCATTCTTCCCTCCTATCCACCTAACAAGCACTGCACTGTTGACTCCATGCTTCATTGGAGCCACAGGATCTTGAGAAACCCAAAACTTCTCAATTGTTCCACAAAATTCTCCTTCATCCGAGAACATAAAACTTAAGCAATTTTCAATAAAGTAGAATGAAAATACTATTTTTCCCAACTACTCGGAGCCGGGGAATTAATGGCCAATACCTATATATGTGAGTTCAGTAAATTGACTTGATTAATTTTGAAATTAATCAAAAGTCCAACATCTCAGTACTTTGATCAGTGAAAGGATAAACAATGGTGCACGTCCCAACCTCATAGGTACAATACAGGGCTAAGTATAAAAACCACTGACATTCAAATCATATAAGAATTTACTCATTATGGCTAAAATAATTTACTCTAGAATTCAGAATACAGTGAAGTCCATCATAAAGTTGTAATTAGCATATCACAAAGTGAGAAGTTCTAAAACCAGGAAATTATATAATAAAAGCATATATACTGATAAAAATCTAATGATGTCACATTGCTATTCCTTAATATAAATATAGGTACTGTCCATCACCATCTCTAAATCTGTTCACCAAGTATATTAAACATCAAATAGAACTTTAATTATTTCACACACTTGATGAGGATGAATGTCAATAAATTTTATAAAATAAATGATACCCAGCATATTATCATAAGGAGGAAAGTGATATATTATGTAGAGAATTATATGCAAGAAAATTAAAATACAATTATTATTTACTTAAAAGTATTTTAAGGTTAGGAACTTAGTTTATTTGGGAACCTTATTATTTCTAGGGCTGAGATACTATTTTCACCTAATGTTTCTATTTAATGGATTTAAAGAGGGTATAATGACTAAAATATATAAACACATATATCGATACCTGATTTTAGAATTATATGGTCACAATAAACCAGATAATTATTCTCAGAATAATCATATATAATTTGATTAAGTATTCTCTGAAAGTATACTCCTTATCTCAAATGGTACTGAGAAAGGAGTCTACCAAGGCATTTCCTGAAACAACTGAACACCAGAAACTAAGAAAAAAGGTTTGCTCTGAAGAAACAAAACAAAACAGAGCAAAGCATTCCAAGGCTCTATCAAACAAGTCAAGAGCTGTTTGAAAGCAATTCTCTCCGACAGCTTGCTCTCTCTTTGCTGACAGTTGCATAGCCTTGCTGCTGGTGGCTACTGCTAAGCTGCCTTTTGGGACATTTTCTGAAATTTGCTATGTGGAAACTCTGCCATCCTGAAATAAGATTATATAAATCTCTCCTTGAATTGTGGCTGACTACCAACAGAGGAGACTTTCCCTGGCAGGATTACTTCAGAGGCACCAGAACTGACGGCCACGAATTCACAGGTTATAAAAACATTACGGAAGCAAGCCAGTCTAGCTATTTGTGAAGCTTCTAGTCCCTCTGAATATGGATTTTTATGTTTCTCACATTAAGGAGATACACAGATAATACTTAAACGAGGTTCAACTTGAGTGATGAAGGATTCTTTATAGAAAATACAATGGTTACAGCCATGCATGTTTTCTTATTTTCTATATGCAAATAATCTACATGATTTACCTTATTTTGACATTTTTTACTGCATCTTATTTTTGACTTTGGAAGAGTTACACTTTGAGAATTAAATTATTCCAGGTATTCATTGTACTTTTGTAGTAAATGTACGAGTCCAGCCTGTGCTTAGTTCCTGGGGCCAAACTTTAAATAGGTATGCAACATGTAATGAATAATAAATGTTTTATCCCATCTGTTTTTGAATATAACTCTTAACATAAATAATGTATCATTAAATATTAAGTACATATAAAAGGCGAAATATATAGCAACACAAAATATGCCAATATGTAATACACAAACTTTAGCTATTATAAATCTTTACTTAATCTTACCTCATTGATTTAAATTCTCATTAAGAATTTAGTTTCTTTTCTAGCCTATCATTTCTTTTACTTTCTGCTCATTCTCTTTCCTTTTCCTTTCCATCTCGTTCCTCTCCCTTTACTTACCCTCCCTTTTCTCCACTGGCTTAGGAGCCAAATGAGCCCAGGGCTAGATCCGAGTTCTGTGCAGGTTGTGGCTTCATAATTCTTCTTGCATCACATCCTAGGACAGTTTCGGTATCAAAGCATTTTGACTATACGCTTGTTAACAAATTTAAAGATGTTTGATGTTTTCCCCAGTTAATTCCTTTAGACGTCCACGTGGTTAGTGTGTGTGTGTATGTTTATTTGTATATGCATATATGCTGAAGTGATATGAGACATATTTAATGAGGGATTAATTAATCTTTCAATAGTTAAGTCATCTTAAAGCCATAATGATACCCTTCTAGAGAGGATTTTGATAATTTGCTCCTATTTTCTACTAAGCTCAAAAAATTTATTTTTCTCTAATTAAAAAATTATATTCAGGAAAACATGCTTCTAATGCACAGAGATCTTTTTCATTTGCGTAGTGAATATCTTACCTTTATTCTACTTTGGCATCCAGGCTTTCTGTTGTGATAGTTGTCATAAATTTATATGTATACACAGCTGTTTTAATTATTTCTGTCCTTCATCTTTTGGGGTGAGGCTGGAAAATATTCAAATCAAATTTGTAAGTTATGTACAGCTTTAGTTAAAAAGATCTGAAAATAGTTTCACCTGATAATAAAACAAAAATATAAGGCCATTTAAAATTGAAGCATTTTTTTCCTCATTGCATATTTATTTTTTGATAAACCGGTGTTCATATTTTCAAAACCAATTTCAATATCTACTCTCTCCCAGATAGGAGTCTAAATTTTTTTGTTTTGTTTGTTTTTTAGTTTATTGGGGTGACAATAGTTAGTAAAGTTACATAGGTTTCAGGTGTACAATTCTGTAATACATCATCTATACATCACATTGTGTGTTCACCACCCAGAGTCAGTTCTCCTTCCATCACCAAATATTTGAGCCCATTTGCCATCATCTACCACCCCCTCTCCCCTGACCCTCTGGTAACCACTAAACTATTGTCTGTGTCTATGAGTTTTTGTTTCTCTGTTTGTCTTGTTCCTTTATGGTTTTCAGTTTTATATCCCACATATCAGTAAAATCATATGGTATGGAGATAAAAAAATTACATATCGTATAGAGAATATAAGAAAAGGATGACTGTAGTACATAGATTTTATTATTATTATATAAAATAATTAACAGTGTATTACATAAGAAAAATATTACTTTATAATAAAAGCTGAAAGGTATGAATAAATTAAACATTAAACATTTTATAAATCTAATTACTTAGCTTCAGAGCATCTAAGGCATGAACTTTAACAAATATAAAATGAATCAGACATATCACATCATAATTGAAGAATTTTAAATATAACATATAGCGAAAATAGGAGGAAATAAATAAAATCATAGAGAATTTGAATAGCTCAATAAACCAAGTTCCTTCAGAAGTATTAAAAATATGTATATATTGGGTCACAAAAGAAAATCTCAATCAATTAGAAAAATCAACACTTATGTAGGCCATATTTTGTCCTAAAGATTTAAGACTAGAAAATAGCTTTAAATAAACAGCTTCAAAGTCACCACTTAAGTGAACATTAATGAAAAGATAGAAAGTGAAAAAGAGGGATAACTTTGTTCCAAATGACTTCTGGGTTAAAGAACAGAAGACCTGAAATCATAAATCACTTAGAAATATATTCTAAAAGGCTGGAATATGGAGCTGAAGAGGTGGTGGCAAATGAAAGAGGGACACACATCCTCGGATGTCCTCCCAACAAATGAAGTTTGTGTATCTGACTGCTCTGACCAATAGAATGCTGCAGAAATGAACCTGTGTCAGCCTGGCATGTTCACTTCCTATCATTTGGAACATTTCCTTTTGGGGAGGCCAAGCTCCAGGTAAGAAGACTCATTATGTAAAGCCACCATGATGCAAGAAACCCAAATACACAGAGAGGCCTTAGGAGATAAGATGCCACATGAAAACAGAGACACTAAGTTGCCAGTCCTGAGTACAGAAACTATTATATCTTGGAAGGTGACCCGTCGTCTCAGCCCTTTTTAAATTTCTAACCAACAAAAGCATGACTAAAATAAATTGTTGTTTTAAATTACTAAGGTTAAAGCACAGAGAAGCTCAAAGATAAATTTAGTACAATGAAAGAAATATTAGAAATAAATAAATGTATAATCTATTTCACAAAAGGAGAAAAACATGAAACACTAACAGAAAATCTTTACTAAAAATAAAACAGAAAGTATGCAAAAAATAAGACTTTGAACATTAAATTCAACTGCTAAAATTTAAACAGGTTTTCTTTAAAGGTTAATAGACTAAGACTAGCTTGGCCAATCTGAGCAAGAAATGAAAAATACAATAGCATTAGAAATTGTTCATCCCTACAGCAAATAAAACAATTCTAACATAATTCTATTTATCAATTATTTGCAATATTTTTTTAAAATTAATAAATGTTCTTTATATTTTAAAAAATTGAACTCAAGAATAAAAAATCTGAGGGCAGCCAGTTAACTCAGTTGGTTAGAGCACAGAGATCATAAAGCAAGGTTGCCGGTTCATTCCCCACATGGGCCACAGAGCTGCGCCCTCCACAACTAGATTGAAACTACTTGACTTGGAGCTGATGGGTCCTGGAAAAACACACTGTTCACCAATAACATTAAAAAAAAATTCTAAATAAAAGAATAAAAAATCTGAAAGGCCAGTATCCAGAGAAGAAATATGCAAGTATTCCTTATAACCAGCGGTTCTCAACCTGAGGGTCACGACCCCTTTGGTGGTCGAATGACCTTTTCACAGGGGTCGCCTAAGACCATCGGAAAACAAAAAGATATTTACATTACGATTCATAACAGTAGCAAAATTACAGTTATAGAGTAGCAACGAAAATAATTTTATGGTTGGGGGTCACCTCAACATGAGGAACTGTATTAAGGGGTCATGGCATTAGGAAGGTTGAGAACCGCTGCTTATAACATAACAAACTCCTGAAAAATACAGTAATGGAAGAAATTAATTAGCAGACATACACACACAGCTTGATAAATGGAAATAACTAAAATTCTATAGAAATTAATAGCTAATTATTAGAAACAGTAACTATCAGGCCAATTATAAGTCATAGATTCTTTAATACTGCACCATTATTCCACATTGTACGATAAGGCCTATTAAGTAATAAGAGAGTAAAAAGAAATGACTATATAAATAATGGGGAGGAAGTGATAAAGCAACAGTAATTGTCTTCATAGGATTGCCTATATAAAAATCTCGATGAGTTAAAAAAAGATATAAATCAGCAAAGTGAATCAACATAACCCTCGACATGCAGTAGATCTCACTGACAACAGAAATGCTCATTAATAATTGTAATAATACTAAGTATAATTTTAAATCCTAGTTAAAATTGTAAATATTCACTAGATATTACACAAAAATAAACCCAATGTGAGATATACAAGAAACATAAAATTAGAATGGTAATATCCCATATTATAAAGATATTGGTTGTTAAACTTATTTATATATATGTAACCCCATTTGTCATGAAATTATCAAATAGGTTCTAAAACTAATATAGAGGACACAATGTAACAGAAGACTAGCGAGACATTTTCCAAAAGAATATTAAACTTACTGTGTCAGATAGCAAGATGTAAATTTTTAATTATTTTAGACGAGTGGTATTGGTAGAGAAAATGATAAACAATAATAGAATCAAACCAATTTCTTTTTTTTAATGTGACCAAAAAGATGTGAAAGAAGTGTTAAACCATTTAGATTGTTCTGAATCACCAAAACAACTTTATTACATCTTTTGAAGTCTGCATGCCAATCTCTACCCATCTGCTTTCATCAAGCTTCAGAGAACTATATTCCATCTGCAATCCTGCCAATATGCCACTATCTGTCCTCTCACCCAAACATAGCGAGACTGCTACTTACAAGGCACTACTGACAAAGGACAGGAACCTGAGTGACAGATTAAACAGTGATGTGTTAGTGTACAATTAAAATCAGAAAGCAGCTGAATCCCAAACATTTTTGGTATCAAAATGGATTTATCAAAAAGTTCTGCTTCATGGGGAAAACAAAACTATATTACATGATTTTTTGAAAAATATAAAGCATCTTTCTTATAGGAACTATAGTTTTTTTATTATTAAAATTTATTGGGGTGACAATGGTTAGGTTTCAAGTGTACAATTCTGTAATACATCATCTGTATATCACATTGTGTGTTCACCACCCAGTCAGCTCTCCTTCCATCACCATATATTTGATCCCCTTTANTGAAGTGTACCTGGCGTATAAGACGACCCCCCACTTGGAGGCATATTTTTCAGGGCCAAAAAATCGTCTTATACGCCGGCAAATACGGTACTAAACAAAAGAAATTTGGCCAATATTCCTTTATCCCCAAATTTCCCAAATATATCTGACCTGAGAAGCTTGTTTTATCTTTTTGCTTAACACCTGTTTAATATAAAATACATTTTTGTTAAAAAAAAATGGCATAGAAAAATGTAATTCCCAAATTATTTTGCATAATTAGATCGTGCAGAGGAACGATTAAAAGAGGTGCATCAGGATCTAGGAATTCAGATTTCTTTGAAAACATTAGAGGGAACTACAAAACTACAAGAAAACAAACAAATGTTGTATATATACCATTTGGGTATATACACACCGAGGGTGCCAAAAAATGTATACACATTTTAAGAAAGGAAAAAACTGCATTAAAATTGTGATACTCAATATATACCAATAACAGAAGATGAAGACAAGTCACATTTGACTTCTGCAGTTACAAGAGGTGCTCAAGATGGTTACCACCGGTGTAATTTTAATACAGATTTTCCTTTCTTAAAATGTATATACATTTTTGTTGGCACCTTCTGTATAAATGGGTCCGGTGGCATTCATACACAGTGATCACGGACTTTTCTTTCATTTTCTACCTTGTGACATTCATTTTCTTTTTGAGACCCCCAATAATTATTGCAATTAAACAAGTAAACCAATATTCCAGAAAACTTGTAGCTTAGAAGGCACCTGGAGAATTGGTCATTTATTCATAGATTTTTTTAAAAATCTGACTTACTGCTTATTTGTACTTCAAAGAAAACATAGATCATAAAACAGCCTTTAGTTTAAAATATTAATGAGTTTTATTTTGGTAATATCCTCTCTCCTATGACCCGAGGATAATTACAGGAAGGATACGAGGATTCTGTTTTGTCCCAGTGTGTTTGGTCACACACACACACACCAACATTCATGTACCAGAGAGAAAGACAGGCCTACTTATGTATGCAGCAGAATAACATCACATTGAATTGAGGAACTAGTCTCTCGGGACCAATTTTATGCCTCCCTCTACAGCTGTATGGAGACACTTTGGAACATAATATATTCTTTTGAAGTCAATGATCCCTGAGGGTTCAAAGCAAGATAAGAATTTGGCTCTTGATAGAATGGATGCATTGTGTAGAATAGAGTTTTAATTCTAAGCCTCACTGAGCGTGCACACACATACCCACACCCATACAAGATGAGGA